GTCAGGGCGGAGGTGTGGGAGCCCAGTCACGAGCTTGCCCCTGCTTCTCAGGTGTGGCCTTGAGATTTGACTGCGAGCTTGGCAGTGCTGTCTCCCCAGCCCAGGAAGCCTGCTGTGGGGAGGCCTGACACTGAGCTCTCAGCCTCCTGCCCTCAGCTGCGCGAAGCACTTGGCCTAGCTCACTGAAGCTGCTCTGCCTCCAGGCCAGCGCGGCCTACTCTGACAGGCCCGTGTGTGTGGAGTGGTGAGGGTCTCCCCACCAATGCCCCCACCCAGCAGCACACGGGCCTGTGCGGCCTGCTGGCCCTGTGGTTCCGTGTACAGCGCTGGGCACGTCACGTTTGCTCTGGAAACATCTCTGGGGTTTGCTTGTTCTTGAAGTTCATGAAGTGCTGCTGGAGAGCCAGAAACCGACTGTGCAGGAGCCAGAGGAATGGGCAGGCCGCTGACCCAAGGTGTGAAGAAACCCCTGGAGAAGGGTGTCCCCACCAGCCCATACGGCGTGTGTGTGGAGGGGTCCTTGACCTCCGTGATTTCTCTTGTGCCTCAGGATAAGGACCCCCCATGCCTTGGCTAGACAGTGTTGTGATTAGTAGGAATCTCTCATTGTTCACCATGTGACCCCCAGGAGGTATTCGACCTGCACCGGCGTGCCTGGTCCAGGAGGTATTCGACCTGCACCGGCGTGCCTGGTCCAGGAGGTATTCGACCTGCACCGGCGTGCCTGGTCTGGGATTTGGTGATGGAGAGGAGAGCTCCTGAGGGGGGCATGTGGTGGGACAGGAGTGTGGTGGCTGCTGACTGTGGGGTGGGGATGGGGCTGCAGCATCAGGCAGAGCCCCTCAGGGCGCAGATGTCAAGGGCACCTGAGCGAGGGGTGCCAGCAGGGGGGCGGCTGTGTCGGTTCCATGTAACTCTGGAACTCATTTCACTCACCTGCTCCTCTCAGTTCTCCCTAACTCTGGAACCTCTGTGATCTCAGTTCTTCCTAACGCTGGAACCTCTGTGGTCCTTTGCAGGTTTTTTATCGGCACCTCAGTCTCAACATTTTCTTTTCGGATTCATGAGGAAAGAGAAATTCTGGGGTTGGACCCCAAGACGACGTACAACAGGTTCTGCGGAGACCAAGAGAAGGCATGTGAGCAGCCCACGCACTGGAAGATCACCTACTGAGAAGGCTCCTCCGGGGCCGCTCCCGGACCCGACTGACGTGGGTGGATGCAGGCTCTGTCGCCGCGGAGTCACCGTCTGCTGCCAGCCAGGAGCTCGGTGGACAGGACTGTCCCTCGCGGGATCCTAAGCCCAGAAGAGGCCCCAGGCCTCTAGAGGTGCAGCGCGTCTAGAGTTGTGCTCTGTCCTTGGCGTTTCCAGCCGCCATGGCTGACGAAGAGGCTCTGCTGCCCTCGGGGGCAGTTGTGTTTTCAGGCAGTGTCTGTGAACCCACAGCTCGGTTGCCAGCAGGGCCCGCGTGGTGACTCATAAGCAGGAGTGTTTGTCAGGCTCCAGCTCTGGCCTTACCAGCCACCTTTCATGTCTTCATATTTTAAGCGCATTGAGGATAGATGCTGGCGGGTGAGCTGCCCTCCGTCAGGTGCACACGGGCTGACATTTCCCTGGGAGCTGGTGCAAGGAAAAGAGTCATTTTAAATGTCTGCAGAGTGACCGGGGCCTCACGAATCCCTCTGTTCCCCTCCACGCAGCAGGAGGCTGCCTGTTTGTTTCCTCCTGGGATGTGTGCAAGGCAGACCTGGTGCTGCAAAGGGAAGGGCCTGAGGCCTCAGGGAGCCCCGTGGAGGGATGACAGTTCAGGCCCTACCGTCAGCACATCAGAGTGCTGGGAAGTTTTTCAGTGGCGTCTCTGGGACACTCAGTGGATTGTCTGTAGGAAACTTGCAACTCCACTCCTCACACCAGGCCCAGCTGGCTGCCCCGCCCTCGCCCTGGCTGCCCCGCCCTCACCCTGGCTGGCAGGTGCACGTGGGGCCTCCGGGTCCACCATTCACTATTGAAAGCTAGAAATGAGGAAGGACAGTCACACCAACTCCAAAAGGCTGTCTAGGATGAGCTGCTTTATCAGGGAGCTCCTTGTGCCCATTTTACAGAAATCATTTTTAGGTCTTTGTGCCACCACCATGAGGGGCATCTGCAAAGAGGGCAACGCTGGACGCAGAATCTGTGGAAGGTGCAGCAGTGCCTCAGGGGTCCTCAAGGTCAGGGAGCCCCCCTCTCCCTCTTGGCCCATTACCCTTTGTGACTTCCCACCATGGTGTCGTGTGACCCTCAGGCTGGTGGGGGCTGAGTCCTCACTGAGCACCCACTTTCCACATCTGCTAGAGGAACAGTGACACGGACACTTGTGTGACAGAGAAAGGAGGGTTAGTGAGGAGGGACAGACAGCTCTTCCCTTCGGAGCCTGGCTAGTCTAGGACATCACCTTGCTGTGTCTTCTCCGTCTCAAGCTTTTAAAATTGACCCTGAACGTGTGACAGGGTCCTACGGTGTTACTCAAAGCTGTGCAAGGTAAATGGTGACATATTTATTCTTTTCCCATTTGTTCTAGAAACAGTGCCTTTTTCATCAATTGCATTTTCCAGGTTGAGAGCTGTATAAAACATTTTGGACTGTGACCATGTACCTTCCTTTTTAAGAAAAATAAACTGCTTTATGGTAGTTAGCTGTGGAGCGTAGACTCATTAGACTCATTTCCTGCTGCCCAGCGGAAGGTGGAAGAACCCTTTCACATCTCCCAGAAGGCACATGGTGACCAGGTTGGAACAGGGTCGGGGCCGCTCCTGCTGGCCTGTGAGTGCTGTGGCATCTGCATCAGGACACCACTTCTGCCAGAGCCCCTGGGGCCCCCAGTGTTTCCTGGGTCTGCTCAAGGGGCCCTGCAAGCCCTCGTCATCCTCAACAGCAACCAGCCCTCTGTTCATTAGACTGCTGGGAGGCCTCTTTGGGGAAAGAATTCCACAGTTGTAAAAGTTTGAAAACTGCCAGGTTTTTAGGCACATAGGAGATGGCAGTATGGCCTTTATGAGTTTAACTGTGATGGGAAGAGACCAGCCAGTGAGAAGATTAGTGTGCCAGGTGCTGGTAAATGCTGCAGAACTCTGGAGAACACAGCCTGGAGGAGGTGGGAGGTTGGGAGGGGCCCAGGAAGGCTAGTGGGGCTGTAAGAGGCAGTGGCCAGAACAATGAGTACAGAGGCCCCAGGGCACATACGGCCAAGGTGGAGAGATGCTGGTGTCCCAGATGGAGCAACTGGGCCAGTGATGCGTCGGGAGGATGTGTGGGTAGGAGGGCCTCTGTGGGGCCTGAGCAGAGCAGGGTGTGATGTGACTGTGTAGAGAATAGCCTGGAAGCTGGAGGCTGGTGAGGAGGCTCTTGCTTGGTCCTAGTGAGACACAATGGTCAAGAGTGTTGAAAACTTGAGGCTGGACGCAGTGGCTCACGCCTGTAATCCCAGCACTTTGGGAGGTCAAGGCGGTTGGATTGCTTTAGGTTAGGAGTTTGAGACCAGCCCAGCCAACATGGTGAAATCCCATCTCTACTAAAAAAAAAAAAAAAAAAAAAAATTAGCCTCGCGGGCATGGTGGTGCATGTCTGTAATCCCAGCTACGTGGGAGGCTGAGGCAGGAGAATCACTTAAACCTGGGAGGCGGAAGTTGCCATGAGCTGTGATTGTGCCACTGCACTCCAGCCTGGGGTGACAGAGTGAGACTCTGTCTGAAAAAAAGAAAAACTTTAGAGTTTATTTGAACAAAGAACAGTTCATGAATTGCACTCAGAACCAGGAGAGGCTCAGCAAGCTCTACCCAGCAGCATGGGCAGGCAGCACTTAAAGACAGAACACGAAAGTGAGGCACGGAAACAGCCTGATTGGCTACAGCTGGGCCTCTGCGTCATGTGGGTGTGGTCTGATCCACTGGCAGCTTAGGACAGACTCAGCTACTTGTTACAAGAATAGACTTACTAGGTTGAGTTTGTTTACATGCTTGGTTAGGTTGCAGTTCACTAGGTAGGAATTCAAAGAATGGCCAGCTTTAGGCCAGATGTAATTTAACAAAAGGACCCGGGTGTGGGCACATCCCTGGAAGGAGGTACTGGGTCTGAGAGCCCAGGCGGACCCTAAGGGGTTGTCTTAGCTGCTGCAAGGATGATGGAACCCTCTCCCTTTTTTAAGCTAATGGTCTTTTTGTTGCAGGGAGAAAAGATGGACTTGCAGCTTGGAATGGATGTAAATCATAGTGTTTTCAGCACTGTTGGTTGTGCCGAAGTCCACAGCCACGGCCTCTTCTGCCAGCTCCAAGTCATGGTTCCAAAGACTTTTAAAACAGTCCATAGATACTCCCTTGATAAAGGTTTCATTTTTAAAATGTGTGTGGATGGTGGCAGCCTGACCCTGTTTCACTCCAGTGCAAGGCAGATGACACCAAGCCAACATGCAGAGGCCTGGCCAGGGTGTTGTCACTGTGAGTTGGGGCACACACAAGCACAGGGGGCCGTCCTGCGGTGGGCTGGGCCCAGTGGCTCACCCTTCACCCTTTTTCCGCACATCTTCCTGGAGTAGACGAAGTTTAAATGTTCGTTTTCAGTAAGCAGCTGTGACTATACTAACACATTGAGTTAGAACCATTTGAATAGGTTTTGAATCTGCTTTTTCATTGTTCACTTTTAATACTATTAACTAAAGCATTTATTTGGGAAACAAAGGATTGTGATTTGGGTAAACTGAGTCAGGGTGACCCTGAGTAGTGTCCTGGAAGGCAAACACTGGAGAGTTTTGGATTTTCTCTTTGTTTGAGATGGAGTCTGACTCTGTTGCCCAGGCTGGAGTACAGTGGCGCGATCTCAGCTCACTGCAACCTCCACCTCCTGGGTTCAGGTGATTCTCCTGCCTCAGCCTCCTGAGTAGCTGGGACTACAAGTGCTTGCCACCACCACCCCTGACTAATTTTTGTATTTTTAGTAGAGATGAGGTTTCACCGTGTTGGCCAGGCTGGGCCTCAAACTTCTGATCTCAGGTGATCCACCCACCTCAGCCTCCCAAAGTGCTGGGATTACAGGTATGAGCCGCCTCGCCCGGCCTGGAGAGATGTGCATAGAGGATTTCCACAAAGGGTTTTTGGAGGCAGTTCATTGGCTGGGGAGAAATCCTAAATGAAGCCCTTTCTGGTGGGTTAGTGCTTCAGGGCCCTCCCAGCTGGGAGATGTGAAGGCCGTCAGGGGCTGACTTCAGCTGCTGGTCCAGGTCTACGGGCATCCTGTGGCCTGGCCGTCGGCGTGTGAATGCAGGCCTCCCGCGGCCTCCCTTCCACTTAGAAAGCCTTCGCATTGGTGACTTCGTTTTCTTTCACATTTCCCCCTTTTGATCGAGTTCTTCCTCCAGAAAGTCACAGATCAGTTGGTGAATGTGATGTTGTCCCTTGTTGCCGGGAGGCACTTGTCCCAGGGAGTCATGTCCCTCATTGCGGACGTGACCTCAGTCAAGCTCTAGTGTCACCTGCTTCACCTTCGGGTCAGTTTTCATTTCAGGGGATTGTCTGAATTCCAGCAGGGGGTAGAGGTTTCTTTAAATGAGAAACCTGAATCCAAGGGCCGACACCTTTTAGTTTGACAGCACAGGGATTGGTAAGGAGTACCTGACGCGGACTCTTCACTGAGGTTGAAGGAAATCTTTCTGTAAATGTCTTTTCCAGTAGAGAAAAAGATCAGGCTGAAGGTCGTGCTGTCTGGTGCCTTTATCTCCTGGGAACACACCGTGTAAAGACTGTCTGACCAGGGTATGACTTGTGTGAACCGCCTTCATTATTCCTTTACAGTATTGAAGCATGTCTCCTTTAATACACGGACTGTTCAGAGCAGAAGGGACTCTGCGCATTGACCCTGCCGTGATCATTTCAAAAGGTGACAACTTGCAGTTTCCGAAAGGTGCGGACCTTAGATTCGGAAGGACCACAGGAAGTGCCTTTGGCCAGGGCAATTTTAGTGCTTCCTGAAATTTTGCCAATTGAATCTTGGTGATGCCACCTGTGCTTTCTGCCCGTCTGCAGGACTGGGATGGTAGGCACAATGCCAGCGCTGTAATGTGGACCAGACTTCACAGATTGGTTTTACGACCTGGCCAGTGGAGTTCCTTGCCGCTGCGTGTGAAGATGTGCCCGTCACGTAGGGAGAATCTGCTCTAGTCGAGTGTGCGGCGTCTGAGGCAGTGGCACATCAGGAAGGGAACGCTTCCACCCAGGAGGAGAACATGCAAATCATCACGACGTATTTATAGTCTCGGGAGGCAGTGGCTGGATGAAGTCCATTCGCCAGACCTCAGAGGGCCTGCTGGGCAGGTCAGAACGGCCTGGGACTGTCTGAAGTGTCTTCGCTGGGTTGAATTTTGGGCAAACAGCACAAGGCAGTTGTGCCTCTTTGGCCGTCCTTGAAATGTTTCTCCCCCAGTACTGTTTTGTAAACGTGTAAGTTCATTAGTTGCCCAATGAGTCGTCCTGATGTTTTCATAGATTCTGGTAACACCGACTCATGGGTGCTTGGGACAGGGCGTCTTTAATAACATGACTTACGTCCTTTTTTGGAAAATTATCTCAGCTGTAAGGTTTTTAGTCTTAGTGAAACTCAAGGCAGTGGCTTTTGCTGTAGAATCAACCACATTTTTTTCTTTAGCCCCATCAGACTTCAATTTTGAATACCCAGAAACTGTGATTATGGCCAAAGCAGAAGGAAGCCAAATTGAATTTAATGAACGATTGACGAAAGTGTCATTTTTAACTTGGTTCCCTCTGGAGGTTAAAAAGTTTGTTTCCAGCGCCGGGCGCGGTGGCTCACGCCTGTAATCCCAGCACTTTGGGAGGCTGAGATGGGCGGATCACGAGGTCAGGAGATGGAGACCATCCTGGCTAACACGGTGAAACCCCATCTCTAGTAAAACACAAAAAATTAGCCGGGCGTGACGGTGGGCGCCTGTAGTCCCAGCTACTCGGGAGGCTGAGGCAGGAGAATGGCGTGAACCTGGGAGGCGGAGGTTGCAGTAAGCCGAGATCGCGCTACTGCACTCCAGCCTGGGCGACAGAGCGAGACTCTGTCTCAAAAAAAAAAAGAAAAAGTCTGTTTCCAAACTCATCAACAACCCAAATGAGGGGCAGGAGGAGACCTGGGCCCAGGACTCCATCTTTCCGTGCTCTATCAGCCTCTGTGAGTGCAGACACTGTTTTGGAGAGAGGCAATGTTAGAGTTCTGATAGCATCTAGATGCCTCCAAATGCCAATTAAAACATGCACCCCATCCGGACGTGCATATTTTAATACATAGCCACAGGCCATTCTCTCACTTGTGGAGAAGCTGCACCCAAGTGTCCTCACGCTCAGCATGTTCCCATGAGCACGCTGCCTTCCTAGGGCTCTGTGGACTTTCATATGCTAAGACCCTTGTTTTGGAACCGAGTTCTTCTAATTAGTTCAGAGAAAACTTAGGTTGGTGTAGCAAAGGAACCCCGGTTTGGCCAAAGTAAAAAGGTCCGCTGCTCCAGATAAACGGGGCTGGAGTCCGGAGGCAGCACAGCTGTTATGAGGCTTAGACTTACAGAGTCCCACACTTAAGATAATACCACTCACCATTAGGAAAACTCGCGGTAAGCGGCGAAAACGTCCTCCAAGCTGAAAGGTGGAGTGTGGCTCCTGCATCACCCAGTGGTGCGGCTGCAGCACAGGACAGGCCCAGGCTTTAGGCTCCACAGCCCTTCCCTCAGTTCCTGAGCCCGGGGCAGCTCTGGGCAGCAGAACACCTGCTGTGCGCCACCGACCAGACTCCTCCCAGGCCAGAGTCAGGGCTGCAGGGAGCCTCTCGAGAGCAGGGGACAGCATGCAGGGAGAGGGGGACGGGCACAACCAGGACATCCAGGCCTAAGCAGCCCCCGACCCAGCAGAGCCCCCATCAAGAATTACAGGTGCCCCCACCACAGGCTCTGATGCCCCCAGCCAAGCACAGGGTGAGGGGAGGCTCTGAGCCCAGTGGGACTGCCAGGCTCCCTGCTCCACCTCGGGGCAGTGCCCTGCAGACAGGACCTGCCACGCCTCTGTCCCTGCCATCTTTAGTCACTCCCTTCCATCCAGGCAGCAGGGACCACGTGAGATTCGTCCTTTGTGCTGAGGGAGGGCCTCACACCCAGGAGCTCTGGAAGCTCATGGGAGCTTCCACAGCTGCCCCTCCCGTGAGGCACCAGAACTGCCCCAGCTGCCACAGGCAGCACTGAGCCCTTCCTCCCTGCAGCCCTGGACTCTGCCATTCTCTTGGGGTCAGGGTGACTTGGTGCTTCCCACCATCTGTGCCGGACCCCTCCACATGGCTCCCCCCAGCACCAGGAGGCCTCCTGGGTCAGCACCTCTGGGTCCTGCCCATGAAGCTGTGCCACCTCCCAAGGCACCTGTCACACCCACCCCAGCACGTTTTCAGTCACAAGAGAACAAAAACCTGACTCAAGCTGGCTTTGAAGTTCAATAGCACAGACAACTCCCACGCTCAAAGGCAGTGGGTGAGGTGGCCTCAGGCACAGCTGGATCCAGGGTCACGGGCAGCACTGCTGGGATCCACTCCGGGTGTGTGTGGGCAGCACTGCTGGGATCCACTCCAGGCTCCTCTGCCATGGTGACAACAGGGATGTCCCCACAGCCACAGCCACGTCCTCCCACTCCCACCCCCAAGCCTGGCAGGTGGAAGAGCCCAGCAGGAGTCACGCCTGACCACACACAATCATGTGGCCCGGGGACGTGTGGCCACGGCTGCCACCTGTGGGTGGAGTTACCACCCAGGCAGGCAGGAGAGCTGGGCTGGGAGGCGGGGCCCTGGCCGGCTGTGGTGGCACCTGCTCTCCTGAAGCAGGTGAGCCCCGCACCTTCAGCTCCACCAGGTGGGGCATCCCAGAAGCCCGTTCATGCCCTGCCCCAAATACACTTGTGCAGTACGTGCAATTTTGGAAACTTTGGGACAAAAGCCACGTCTTCCACCCTGTCTCCTTCCGAGATCAATTTAGTTGTTTTTTTTTTTTTTTTGAGACAAAGTCTCCTCCGTCACCCCGGCTGGAGTGCAGTGGTGCAATCTCGGCTCACTGCAAGCTCCGCTTGCTGGGTTCACACCATTCTCCTGCCTCAGCCCCCCGAGTAGCTGGGACTACAGGCGTCCGCCACCACGCCCGGCTAATTTTTTGTATTTTAGTAGAGAAGGGGTTTCACTGTGTTAGCAGCATGGTCTCGATCTCCTGACCTTGTGATCCGCCCGCCTCGGCCTCCCAAAGTGCTGGGATTACAGGCCTGAGCCACCGCGCCCGGCCCGATTTAGTTTTCATTTCACTGTCTCTGCTACTGCATCTCCTACAGTCAATGGAGCCTCCAAATTGAGGAAACAGCCTCCCCCATTCTCACCCGCCCCCCATCTGCCCAAACGCCGAGCAGATCCCCTCGGGTACAAGGTCCTATTGTCCCCAAAACCAGAGCTCCTGGCCCCGTCCAGGAAACTCTTCCGTGTCTCTGTCTGTTTCATCTATGTCTGTCCCCCTTCTGCTCTGTTTGTCTCTGTGCCTCTCCCCTCAGTCACTGTCTCTTTGAGTCTCTGTCTCTCCCTCTCTCCCCATCACTCCTTTCCTATCCCCATCTTTCTCTGTCTCTCCCCATCACTCCTTCTCTGCCTCTCTCTCTCTCCCCATGTTTCTCTGTCTCTCCCTGTCTTTGTGTTTCTCCCCCATCTCTCCCTTTCTTTCTCCCTCTCTCTCTCCTGCACTCAGGGAAGAACACAGGCAGCACAAGAAAGGGCCAACACACCCGAGCCCTGCCCGGGACCCACCCAAGCCCCCGGGCTCCCTCTGCTTTCACAGGGTGGCCCTGCCTGCCCCCCAGCTCTGGGCCACCAGGTTCCTCCCCGGCCTTCCTACCTGCCTGCCTCCGTTCACCCTTCCCTGAGTTCCCTCGGCTGTCCCCTCGGCCATCGACTTCTTCTGTCTGCTTTGTGTTTCTGCTCGTGAGCAGCAGAAATTCTTCCCGCAACGCGGCCGAAGAGAAAGACATTGAATGAAACTAAACTTCGTCTCTTTGCTCGGCCTCCTGCTCACATTGTGCTGGTGCTGCGTCTCAACTCCCCGGTTGCGTCTGCTTTCTCAGGCACGAGAAATCGCATTCATGCCTGAGAATCGCATTCGTGGGGCTCCAGCCTCATGCCTCGTCACTCACCTAAAGGCCCTGCCTCCTAACGCCAGCCCACTGGGGTGTAAGATTTCAACACGTGAATTCTGGGGGACACTGACACTCGGGCTGCAGCAGCCCCAAGGACTGTGGGCCCAGGAGGGTACAAGAAATCTTCACCAGATGTTCTGGGGAGGGAGGAAGGTGCATGGGGTGGGGAGGCTAGACAAAGGGCTGTGTGGGGCTGGGGTCCTGGGGGGCCAGGTGGGCACCGTGGGGCCCAGCAGCTGCGAGCAGCGCCTCCAGCACTCACCCCAACGTTCTCCACATCCTGAGATGCTTCTTGGGCCCCCACCACGGCAGGGAGAAGCTGGGCCCATAAAGTGCATTTTGCAAGTCGAACCCTGAGCCCAGCCTGCCTGGAACCTTGACCCAGAGGAGCTGTGGAAGAAAATCGAATGAGTCGTGGTTTACGCCATTAAGTTTGTGGGTGATTTGTTCCAAAGCAGCAGCTAACTGGGACACCTCGGGTTATAAAAGTGAGAAGCAGGAACTGCTCAGGACCTCGGCGCCCGGCACCTCCTGCGGGATTCCAGCCGAGTCACTCATCCCCAGATCCACATGAAGCCAGGCTCCCCCGTGCACCGATCACCCTCCTGTTTTCAGAAGGCTCGCCCTGCTCCTGGCAGGAACACCCACTTCCTTCCTGCGCGTCTCTGGCCCCAGCCAGGAGATCAGCACAGGCACCCAGCTGTCAGAGCAGGAGCCTGGAAGGGCAGGGAACAGGGGTGCTCAGCCACAGAAGCAAGACAGGGCCCCAGGAGAGCACAGAGTCATCAGGGACTCCGGGAGGACAAACTCTACTGTGAGAAACCACCACAGCCTGGGCCTTCAGCACAGACTCAGAGGGATTCTCCTGGAGGCTGGGTCCGAGGTCAAGGCAGGGGCAGGGCTGCTTCCTGAGATGCTCCTGGACTCACAGACACCGTCTCCTCCGTGTGTCCTCACGGGGCCATCCCTCTGTGTGTGTCTGTGTCCTCACCCCCTCCTCTTACAGGGATACCAGGCGGACTGGGTTCCGGCCACCCTGCTGACCTCCTTTGCCTTAAATATTCATCTATTAAGGTATTTGGGGCACTGCAAGGTTACGTATCGAAGGTGTACAATTTGACGACTTACGTATGGAAGGTGTACAATTTGATGACTTACGGCCTCCGTTTAACTCAATCACCTCTCTTAAGCCCCTGTTTCCTTTTAAGACCTAAGTCACATTCTGAAGTTCTAGGGGTTAGAGCTTCAACATATGAATTTTGGGGGACACAGTTCAGCCCCGACACCCCTCCCACTGCACACACAGCTTCCACCTCAAGAAGAGGCTGGGGCAGGGCTGAGTCAGTTTAGGGCGGATTCGCTGTC